GGAGAGGGAACTGGGGGGCCCCCTGGGGGCCTTTTTCTCCGAGTTCGACCCCGAAGCTGTTGCTGCTGCTTCGCTGGCGCAGGTGCACTGGGCGCGGCGGCGCAGCGACGGCGCGGAGGTGGCGGTGAAGCTGCAGCGGCCGCTGCTGCAGCAGCACTGCGCAGCAGACCTGCAGGGGCTGCAGAGTTTGTTTTCTTTTCTTTCTTTTTTCTTTCCCCGCTGCAAGTTCGCCTGGCTGCTCCCCGAGTTCGAACAAAACATGCAGCAGGAGCTCAGCTTCCGCCAGGAGGGCTTCAACGCAGCCAGGGCCCGCAGGCTCTTCGCTGGCTGCGCCCAAGTCTACGTGCCCTGGGTGGACTGGACTTTGACTACGGAGAAGGTCTTGACCATGGAGTTCGTCCGCGGCGCCAAACTCACCGACCCCCTCGCGCTGCAGCAGCACGGAGTTGCTGCTCACAGGGCCCCCGAAGTTGCTGCGCTGCTCCTCAAGGTCTTCGGCGACATGCTCCACCTCCACGGGCTCGTCCACTGCGACCCCCACCCCGGCAACCTCCTCATCCGCAGGGTCCCCGCCCAGCAGCAGCAGCAGCAGCAGCAGCAGCAGCAGCAGCGGAAGCGCCTGCTCCGGCTCAGCTGCGACGGCGCGCAGGGAACGCAGCTGCAGGAAGCAGCCCACAGCCAACACGCAGACCTCCAGCCGCCACACAACGCCCACGAAGACGCCGCAGACCCCGGAAACAGCAGCAGCAGCAGCAGCAGCAGCAGCAGCGGCTGCAGCGGCAACTGCAGCGGCAACTGCAGCAGCTGCAGCGAGGGGCAGCTGCAGCTGGTAGTGCTGGACCACGGCATGTACCGCCGCCTCTCCCCAGACTTCCGAATTGCCTTCAGCCGTTTGTGGCTGGCGCTGCTGCTGAACGACGTGGAGGAGGGCCGCAGGGCGCTGCGAGAGCTGGGCATCGACAAGCAGCTGAAGCTGCTGCAGCAGCAGCAGCAGCAGCAGCAGCCGGGGGAAGTGCTGCAGCCGCCGCAGCAGCCAGAATGGCACGCCGGCGGGGACCCCTCGAAGGCTGCTTCTGCGTCTGAAGAGCAGCAGCCTGCTTCTTCAGGGTGCCCGTGGCACTTCGGGAGCAGCAAAAAACCCAGCAGCAGCAGCAGCAGCAGCAGCAGCAGCGGGGAGCTGCCGTTTTGCCTGGACGAAGACACGGCGCTGGACTTGCTGTCAGTAGTGCTGACCTACCGGCCCCAAATAAACCTCCGTACCCAACTGGGGGCCCCCCTGCACTCGCGGGACCGCGCGAAAGTGCTGGGGGCCCTGGGGGGCTCCCCAGTGGAAAGTCTTAATGGCTTTCTGCAGCTGCTGCCGCGGGACCTTCTCTGGGTGCTGCGCATGAGTTACCTCATCCGCAGCATTAACTGCGACTTGGGGGGCACTACGAAGCAGCGGCTGCTGGCCATGGGCGAGGCTGCATGCAGAGGCGTGCAGCTGCGGGACAGCAGCCTCAGCAGCAAGCTCGACGAGTGCCGCCGCTTCGCCGCGCAGCTCCAGCAGCCCCCCAGCAGCAGCAGCAGCAACAGCAGCAACAGCAGCAAGGCCAGTGCGCGCGGAGCCCCCAGGTGGTACGAGCTCCCAGGGGCAAACTCCCTCAACTTGCCCGTGGCCTCTGAGTTCCCGGCCTACTCCTCCTGGCGTTCTATCTCCTCTCGGTCTCACCGCAGCAGCAGCAGCAGCAGCAGCAGCGAGAGCCTGCAGTGTGCTTCCTCGCCACATGCAGACACGGAACTAGCGGCAAGTGATGCTCCTGCTGCACCAACTCAGCAGCAACAGCAGCAGCAGCAGCAGCAGCAGCGGATGAAGGACCCGCTAGAGGACTTGTACACTCAGATGGTTCTAATCAATGGTGCGGAACAGCCCGACCCGCTTTCTGCCTATAGAGGAGAACACGGGGAGCCCCCGGGGTCGCAGCAGCAGCAGCAGCTGCTGCTGCTGCAGGCCGTGCGGAGGCGAGCTGCAGAGCGCCGCGCCCAGTCCCCGTTGCTGCTGCACTCTCTGTGTGGCTCTCTCAAGCAGCAGAGCCCCATGTGTCACCCCCTAAGCAGTGTGCAACAAGAAGACAGCAGCAGCAGCAGCAGCAGCGATAGCTGCAGCAGCGGCAGCAGCAGCAGCAACAGCAGTGCTGCTGCCGGTGCTTCAGGCATTTCCCGGCTGGCAGCGCTTTTTGGAGGCCCGAGAGCGCCGCGCAGACCCCCGCCGAAGGTTGAAGCAGCAGCAGCAGCAGAAACAGCTGCTGCTGCTGCTGCTGACTCGCCTGGCAGCAAAGTGTCGGCGGAGGCCCCCTGGGCCCCCCTAGGCTTTTTCGGATCTCTGCGTCAGCTGCGGCTGCGGCTAGAGCTGTTTTGGACAGTCTCCTTGCTGCGGCTGCAGCTGTGGTTTGTAGATTTGCTGCTGCAGCTGGCGGTGGGGTCGACAGTCACGCCGCAGTCGCAGCGCCGCTCCTATGGCTAGCAGCAGCAGCCGCTGCAGCAGCTGCGGCTGCTGCTGCCGCTGCAGCAGCAGCAGCAGCTCCGGCAACGCCGCCGCGCATGTAGCAACGCCGCACAAAGGCACAGGGGCCAGGGGCCCTGCAGCCTTTTCTTCCATGTCCCGGCTGGTAGACTGCTGCTGCTGCGGCTGCTGCTGCATGCAGCCCCGTTTTGTGAAGGCTTCTCTTTCTAGTTCAGTCAAGGTGGCCCTTAATAGTTGTTTGCAGTTAGTAGCTCACCTAACCTAGAGAGGGGAGCTGCCTGCTGGCGCCCTTCCCCACAGGCCCCCTGCTGCAGTTGTAGCAGCAGCAGCACTCGCAGCAGCAGCAGCAGCTGCTGCTGCTGCTGCTGCTGCTTCTCAAGAGTCTAGACCAGATAGGGAGCCAACGGCGGCAGTAGAGAGCGTAGCAGCAACTGTGTGCGTGTGCAACTTTCGCGTAGAGCAGCAGCAGCAGGAATAGCAGCGGCGGCAACAGCAGCAGCACTACAGACTGCTGCTGCTGCTGCTGCTGCTGACGTAGAGTGGGGTGTACAGACAGCGCAGGCAAGACAAGCTCATGCGCCCTCCTTAGATTCGCCAGAGTCCAAGAGTTTATTTGCAGCTCCTGTGTCACAGTTACTAGCTACATATCTTGGAGTATTATCTATATCTACTCACTTACTGCTATTATTATTAATTACTATAGTTTATTAAATATTAAATATATAATATTATCCTTTTATATTAATACATGCATGCATGCGCAGCAGCCTCTAAGGCTGGAGAGGCTGGGGCACCCAGCTAGCCACCAGCTAGCCAGCCTAGCCTTAGCAGCGCCTCGGGCTCAGCGGGCCCCCCGCAGCTGCAAACTAGCTATGGAGGCTCTCGCTAGCTAGGTGCTGGCAAGCTGCGCCATCATGGGCTGGCTGCAGCAAATGCAGCTGGCTAGCTGCTAGCTAGCTGCGGCAAATGCAGCTAGCTGGCTGCGCCGTCGCTGGCTAGCTGCGGCGAACCCAGTTAGCTAGCTGTATTTGCCGCAACTAGCTAGCTGCGCTGTGGCTGGCTAGCTGTGGCAAACGCAGCTAGCTGCCGTAGCTAGCTAGCTATATTCGCCGCAGCTAGCCAGCAGCGGGGCGACAAGCTCTTGGGGGAGGAAAAGAGCAGTGGTGGCTGGATTCTACTTGCTGCGTGGGGCAAATGCAGCCAGCGAGAGAGCCAGTGTTGTGTCCGCTGCTGCTGCTGCTGCTGCTGCTGCTTCTTCCGGTTGCAGCGCTGTCCCAAGTCTCCTAAGCGCAGCAGTTGTTGCTTCTACTTTCTCCAGCTGCCTCGGGTGTCTCCTTCTTATCAAAGTGTCTCCTTTGTTTGTGAATTAAATTTCTCTTCAAATAGAAATTTAATTCACAAAGAACTCTATGCCGGCCTCCCCCGAGTGCCTCTGAAGCTAAATCTGCATTCACTCAAATCCTAGCAGCCCCAGCAGCAGCAGCAACAGCAGCAACGGCAGCAGTAGCAGCAACAGCAGCAGCAGCAGCGCCACCAGCAGTAGCAGCAGCAGGTGAGGCACCCTGTGGGGCCCCACAGTCTGAAGTGTGGGGCAAATGTACGTATTAGTGAGAGCCAATTGAGTTCGCTTAGACGAGTGCGGCGAGCCGCAGGGGCGGCGCAGCGGCGCAGCAGCGAAACGGGCAGCAGCGCAGCAGCAAAACAGCAGCAGCGCAGCAGCACAGCAGCGCAGCAGCACAGCAGCGCCCCGCAGCCTCAAAAGGCAGAAAAGGCCGGCCAAGGATCTTGCTGCATGGGCAGCAGCCCGGGGCCCCCTCTCTCGGCGGCCTCATCTCGGGCATCTACAGCCATATAATCGAGGGGGGCCCCCAGCCCCAGAGGGCCAGGGGGGCCCCCAGCCCCCAGGGGGCCCCCTCCGAGGCTGCGGCTGCCGTGCAGCAGCGGGGGAGGGCCCCTGGAGGCCCACAGCGGCTGCGCAGCGCGGCCGTAAACAGCTGCAGCAGGAAGAGCTGCCTTGCTGCTGCGCTGCAGCAGCGGCAGCTGGTAAGGCGCGTCTCGCCTCGGGGGCAGCAGCCGCCGCCGGAAGGGGAAAGAAGAGGCCCCTGGGGGCCCCCAAAGGTGCCCCATTTGCATTGCTGCTGTTGCGGAGTTGTGGGGCGGGAACAGCTCTAAATCTGCTGCTGCTGCTGCTGCTGCTGCGCCGGGCGCAAACACCCCAGACTGCTGCTCCAGCTGCTGCTGCGCCCGGCGGTGCTGCAGCAGCCGCAGCTGCTCTTCCTGCTGCTCGTGCAGCTGCAGCCGCTGCCGGTACCCCAGGCGGTGCAGCGCCAGCCACCGCTGCTGCTGCTGCTGCTGCTGCTGCTGGGCCTTGTCCGCTAGAGAAGTGCCGCTGCTGCTCAACCCTAAGTAACCCAGACTGCTCGCAGTGCCGTACGGCGGCTGAAGCAGCAGCTGCTGCTGCTGCCTAAAGAGCTGCTGCTGCTGCTGCTGCTGCAGCGGAGAAATCGAATCTTTTGCTGCAATGCTGCTAAAGCCGCCAACGCCAGAGAGAGGCGCCTCTAAGGGCCCCCGCGGAGCACCAGTTCCCCTCCAACTCTTCGACAGATCCCAGCCTGAGGCGCTCTGCAGCAGCAAGCTGCTGCCGTTGCTGCTGCCGAGCAGCGAAGGCTTGATGCTTTGCTGCAGCAGGAACGGGTCTCGCGCCGCTGCTGCTGCTGCTGCTGCTGCGGTTGCGTCCGTGCCGCCGTAGACGCCCGAAACCGGCGGCTGCAGCAGCTGCTGCTGTTGCTGCTGCTGCTGTAGCAGCAGCAGCTGCTGCTGATTCTGCAGGAAGCAGCCCTTGATTGATGCAGACGCCGCAGGACCCCACACAGGCAAGCATGGGGCCCCCCCTAAAGCTGTGGGCGAATAAAGACAAACAGCCACAGCAATCCACTCTGAGGGGCCCTTGAGGGGCCCCCCAGTAGCCGGGCAGGGCAGCGCCCACCGCACAGCGAGCAGCAGGGGCCTTGCGCTGCTGCTGCTGCTGCCGCAGCTGCTGCTGCTGCTGTCGTTCAAGAAGGCCATGCCCGTGGCACGGCATCCGGGGATTGGGGGCCTCAGTCTGTACTTGAGGGCGGCGCTGCCTCGCCACAGATCCACCCCGCCAAAAAGCTGCTGCTGCTGCTGCGGCAGTGGCGGCAGCAGCTGCTGCTGCGGCACCGGAGGGAAGCTGCAGCAGAATAGCAGCACCTCAGGACAGACGGAAGCAGCAACAGCAACAAAGCACAGGCCCCTTGACGCGTCTTCCATCACCCCAATGCACTTGAGGTCCCCGACTTCCTGCTGCTGCACCGTGCCAGCTGCTGCTGCTGCTGCTCCTGCCGCTGCTGCTGCCCCTGCTGTCGACGTCGTCACGCGGACTGCCCGGGGCAACTGCCAAGCGATGCAGAAACCAACAAGCTGCTGCTGCTGCTGCTGCTGCTGCTGCAGGTACAGCTGTCTTGGGTAAGCTGCAGGCAGCAGGGGAAGCAGCAGGCGCTGAGAAACGGCAGCAAGCACTGTTCCTGCTGCTGCTAAGCACCCGAGGCCGCTGCTGCTGTTGCTGCTGCTGCTGTCCTCAGCAGCAGAAAAGCCAATGAGGAAAATGCTGCTGCTGCCCTCCACTCCCAGCAGCAAACAGCGCAGCCCCTCGCACCGCTGCAAAGAGACCTGGCCACCTTTGTGCAGTGCTGCTACTGCTGCTGTTGCAAGAGGCACCCGGGAAACAGCAGAAACACAAATGGGGGGCCCCCCCAACAGCAGGGAGGCCTCAGAACGGAACAGCAGCTGCTGCAGCACCAGCAAGCCTCTCCTGCTTACCACAGCCACGCAGCTGCTGCTGCTGATGCTGGGAGCAGCAGCAGCAGCAGCAACCTGACGATGCCCCAGAAAATGGGCCCAGCAGCCGAAAAGAGTGAAGCTGGAGAAGCAGCAGCAAGACGGCGGGGTGTATATACACCGCGGGCTCAGCGGGCAAAAGACAGTCACGCCAGATGGGCTGTTGCCGCAGACCAGTGGTCCGTACACACCCCAGCTGCTGCTGCTGCTGCTGCTGCTG